CCCTACGAGAATAATTTTAGAAAATCTTGATGCTGCTATATGTGCAGGTGGAGTGAACAGACCTAAGGCTGCTCCAGTTAAGCTAGAAGTGAAAGTGAGCACTGCTATTGTCTGAGCCTTTATTGTGTGTGGTTTCAAAAAAGCCTTGTTATTTAGATTCCCTGTTTAATCAGAACTAAACCTCTTCTGTCCACACTGATCATTTGAAAGATAGCAGTCAATTTTCTCAACTAGTTTAGCCTTAAATGCTACAGGAGGTTTGTTCAGCATTATGTGGTGAGCTCCAAAGTGCAATGGTCTTCCTATGGAAAGAAAGGGACTGGAGTCCTCAGAGCTTTTTAGAGATCTACCTACACAAAGTGTCAAGTAGCTTCTTATCCTGTTTTTCAGAGATGAACCAAGGGGGAGCTAGGACAAGGTGTGGGAATGTTGTTCTAGACTGCCAAACAGTCCTACTGTATTACATGCCCAATGCTGGTCTTACTGATTTTTGCAGTTGCTTAAATAACTAGGCTAAAAAACATCTATTTTTAGTAAATCAAAACGTGATTAAAATGCTGACATTTAATACACAGTGGTTTTCGAGAACACATGAATACTTTTGTATGAGTGTGAATTGCTTTTTAAATTTGTCAGTATTACTGGTATTTTTGAAATAAAGGTAACAACTTTTTCTCTTGGTTATTTCTGTGTAGTTTAACTTTATGCTTCTATTCTTACTGGTTTACTCACTGGTTCAAAGACCATTTAAAAACATTTGAAACAGTAACTGAGCAAACATACTTTAAATGACAAGTCATTAATTTTTGAACTGAGTCTAAAGTGGTGGGAGAAAAAACAATGTTTAAAAACATAGATTTAGATTTTCACTAACACTGCAGGGAGGAACATCTCTCATACACCACTGATGTTTTCATCCTTCCCATAGTCCTTCACCTTCTGTTCAGGAAAATTCTTTTTCCTCCCATATAACAATGGATACAGTGTGGTCAGAGATTCTAACTGTGTGTTAATACAATCACTTATTTTCAATAACCAGCTCTAAATATTGTTTTAAGAGTTAAACTGATTTTAAAATCCTTAGTTCCAGATTAGGCTCCTCATTCTCATCAGCTAGTGCCAGAAGGATGGTCAGGTCTGTGCAGTCAGATGGAGGAATATATGGCAAGAGGTAACAGGGACACAGGGTTTGCTACAAGGGACTGACAAACTCTTCTGGACACACTCCTACAGCTGCTTGTAACAGGGGTTGTAGTGCAAGTACAGAAATTCCTACTTGTTTTGAGGAACGTAGGAGCCCTCATTGTGAAGCAGGAGAGAAATGGATTTTCCCATGCCTAGAGGTAGAAGCAAATTAAGATTTCCAAGATTTCCATCTCCTGACCTGGTTCTCTTACTACAGAACATTCTGAGAACAGTTTAAAGTTTATAGTCCAAGAAACTAAAATATCTAAAGAGATCTAGGGGAGAAAGATTAATAAACTGTCAAAAAATTGTGACTAACAGGAAGCATCTGGTGCTTCCTCTTAACTAAAAATACAGGATTTTTAATGTTCCAAAAACAGAGCAAAACTTTCCTGTCTAAGGGCATATCATACAGCTGAGCTGTGCCTTTCCAGTCTTGTGAATGGCATTTCTGCAGCACCTGAGTTTCATGCTGCTTTTTGGGGTCAAAGGTAGACATGAATTTTTCCAAGAAACCTAAACTGGCCATTCCATCCTATGACTCCGGACACATCCAAGTGCCCTCTCACTTTATACTGCAGCTCGTGTCTGAGCAGCTTCATATCATCACAGTTGCCATCAGAGCACTAGCCACAACATGCAGACAATCCAAGCTACTTATTTGGAGAAAGGGCCTGGACCTGTTTTGGGGATTTTCCATTAAACAGGCAGAGAGGTTTATGGTCTTAAGCAGAAGAGGACAAGCAAGGCTGTTAAGCACAGCAACAAGCAAAGAAAGACAGTGAGAGGTGAGTCTTTAAAAACAAGACAATGGTTAAACTGCATTTTGGGACTTGTTCTTGTTACCCACAAGTTTTTTTTGCAGAGAAAGCCAGGAGCCAGTGCTGGGCTTTGCTGACAGATGCCCATGCTGCCCTCTCAGCTCGATCCAGCACGCCTGGACATGGCTCTTCCTGAGGGAGAAGCCAGAGCTTGCTCACAGAAGCTGCCCCAGCTATGCCATCCCAGCTCTGCCCTGTGCTCCAGGACACAGTGCACAGTGCTCCAGGCCCTTGGCTACAGTTTGATTGGCAATGACTGACATAATTAGTGTTTTATTTGAACAAATCTTAATTGCCTAAACACTACCTTGACTTGAGCAAGCCCTCAGTTTCAGGCTGCCTTCTGACAGAGACTCTGTGCTTGTCAATTCTGATTAGACCTGCTGACAGGGCTTGGCCACAAGGCCTTTTCCACTGCACCCTGCACAGTCGGGTGTTTGCCTGCCTCGCCGTGACGCAAATGCCAAGAACAAATGCCTCCAGCTCCCTCCCCACAGGGAGTACTTACCCATCATCCTTTCTTTATTACTCCCCAAAAGCAAAGCCATTCTTTTCTCCCAAGAAACAAACGGGACACTGAAGCCATTTATCTTCCCTTCAACTTCAGCTAAAATTAAAATGGCAAAAGGAGGAATGATAATTGAGATATTTTTGAGCTCAGCAGAGCTATTGTTGGAGCCAAACCACACTGAACTGGATTGCAGTGACTGAGGCTGCCACACACACTCCCGAAGTGATTCCAGGGGGCCTGAGCCTTGCTGGCTCACAAATACCTGAAATAATATATATAAGAGATACCTGAGCTGCTGAGACACAAAGAATGTAGCAAATTTCATTACCTTCACTGTAGTTTTTCTCCTCACCACTCCCAAAACATGGACAATGAAATCTCCCCTCCACTGCCCCATCACCAGTAAAGAAGCCCTCAGGAATGTAGAAGCAGGGACCTAAACTAGGAGGAAAAGTTTCCCTGCCCTTCTACTGTGGCTCTACTTCCCACCCTCCCTGCTTCCTCTCCTCACCTGGAAACAGAAGTCTGGGCACTACCAAAGGTACAGCAGTGGCACTGAGGGAGCTCTGAATCGCTGCCTCAGCTTCTGCAGGGATTGCCAGGCAGAAGCCTCTCCTGCTCACACAGCACAGTGCAATGCTGCTGACCCTCAGGATCAGAGCCAGGAGCCCAGCAGCCCCTGCACAGCGGTTTATTCTTAGTAATCTGAGGTCAGAAAAGAGAGAAATAGGTCAGGTCTGTAAAGCTTGCTGCAGCCAACTGGGCTGTTAATGCTTGAGGCCAGCGATGTGCCTGCTGAGCTAATCCATGGGCTACAAGCAGGGACTTTTACGTGCTGAAAGGATGAAGACTGAGCAATAAAAACAAGCCAACAGCAGTCAGAGAACAGGGAGGAACAAGCCTATTTTTTTGCCCCATGGATGGAGATGCTGGTTCAAGGGTGATAGCTGGCCAAGAAGTCTGAGAAGTAAAGGAACAGGCAGCTCCTGGACTGTGGAAACAATTGGACACAACAGACTAGCTGTAAAATCTTATAGACTAGATGTAAAGTCTTCTTTTACATCAGGGATATGGGTGCTTTGCCTTAAGATGTGAAGTCCCAATTCAGGAAAGACCAGCACAGCTGGACCTATATCCCCCAAGTGCCAAGGCAGGAGCTGGGATAGCAGGGACAGCCTAGCCCCCAGCCACACAGTATCAGAAGAAGAAAGAGGGACCCCCAAAGCAAAGGGAGTGACTTTCCCCTGACCACTGACAGCATTCAGTCTGAGGAGTGAAGCTTCTAAAGGAACACAGCAGAAAGCCCCAGCAGCATTTGGGCTACTCTGTCACAAAATCTCATGTAAAATAAAAGCATGTCAAAGTCTGTAGGTAAGATGTGGCTCCTGTCACGTAATGTTCTCTCGTACTGCACAGCATTTTTGGTACCACAGAGGTCCACATACTCAGTGATAATTTACCTTTAAAAATTAAAAGTTCAGCAAATACTTTTGTTCCAATTTTCCCAGCCAAGAAGCTATGGAATGAATAGACAAATCACACTGAACAGCTGTTTGATCAGCTCAAGTATATTGTAAGAAGTAATTCCACATGCAAAAATTTCATACAAGCCCCTCAAAAGACTATCTAGTATATAAATGTCAGGCTTTTCTGACCATTCTAAAATAGCCATGCTCTCCAGCATACTTACCAATGGCAGTGTACACGTATATTGGAAATATAAAGCTATACATTCTACACCACCACCAAAAACCCAAAAAGACTGATTAAGATGGAGTAATAGGCCCATCTGGAAGAAAGGAGTGATGGCTTTGAACTCTATCAAGAAGTTTTTCTGCCACGGGTTTGAACTCTCCTTCCCAGTACAGTTTGTGGCAATCCCTTGCCTCTCTGTCAAGGCTGCAATCCAACACCAGCTTTTCATCTGTAATCAAAGAAAACATTGTCATCAGTTCCAAATAAAAATATACCCAACTACGTGTTTTATGACTACAGCACATCCAGCTTACCAGTTGTGTATGTCAGTGGCTTAAATCCAACCCCACAGTTGAGATAAGCTAAGCATCACTCTCTGAGAGACTTAGATTTAATTGGAAATAAAGGATGTTGAGATCAGTAAAACAGTGAAAAGGGTATTGCAGCTTCTTTTACTCTCACACCTCACAGGTGTAGCTAAACTGTCTCCAAGGTCAAGCATTTACTGTGACTGTCAGTCTGGAAAGTACCTGGGGTTTAGCATTACTCACAGCAATTTGCTAATGTAAGCAATCAATTCATCTAACTACAATTGTTTGTCCTCTCAGAAATTGCTCTGCTAATCTGGTTCATGGAGACTCTTTCAGACTCTGTGTACTATCACACTGAAGGAATTAGTTACTGTATCACTGATGCTCTCCCTCTCAAATCTCAAAAATAAAACAACAGGACACTCATAATAGAGACAAGCAATGTTAGGAATGAAAGGAAGTCACCACTCATTATTCCCCCTCCATTTTGCCTGGCATTGGATGTGGAAAAAAAAAAACTCTGACAGAAAAAAAGAAACCAGTCTGGAACCAGAAGCATTCTCCTGCATCAGGAATCTGCAAACACAACTGATAATGCTTAACAAATGTTTTCATGCAGTTCAACAGAACAATATTTGCAGCCTTTGGGCCATACACGGACCTAAACCAAAGGTGGAATCCTGCTCTAAACAGTCAATGACTTACCTTTGGTCTAGACCAAAAAAGAGCACCAGATTCAGACTGTTAAATGAACAATTCTGCGAGGGAGTTTACTGCACATTCACAGCAGGTAAAAGACAACTTGGGGCTGATGAAAAACCTCAGTTACACACATTTTGAGTCAAACTTTGTGTAGACAAGAGATGCTCAAACAGCAACTATTCCCATCCAAAAGCATGCCAAGGTGCATGTGCAGAGCTTATGGCCTGAGCTGCAACAGCTGTAAAGGAAGGAGCAAGTGTGTGAGATGGGCTCCATTTCATACAAAGCTACCACCAACTGCAAACAACACTTAACTTCTAGGCCACTACACTGTTTCTAAACTACCAAACCTAAAGATGCTCATCGTGAGGTAGATTCAAAAGGGTTTGCATCAGGAGATGCCATTTAGTGTCTTTCTGTAAAAAAAATAGAGAACTCCCCCCATTCTTTCAAGAAGGAAGATATGTCATGTCTCTCCAGGAAGAAAACCTGTAATCAGAGATAACACCCAGCCTCAGACATGAGATCTGTATCTGATGATGTCATAGGACAATTTAGGTTGGACAGGACCTCTGAAGCAGAGCCACCATGTATCAGGCTGCTCTGGTCCATGTACTGTTGAGTACTGAACATCTCCAAAGATGGACATCCCACAGCCTCTCTGGGCAGGCTGTTCCAGCACTTGATCCCTGCCATGATGGAAACTTCTTTTCCTAATGTTTAATTGGAATATTGTCTTACTGCAACTTGTGCCAGTTAGCTCTTGTCCTATCGATGACACAGTAATCCAACATACCTAAAATGACTCTCAGCAGCACAGAAGTAAGATCCCCTGAAGTGGGAGCTAAGGGATTATGGGGTTTGTTTTCAGGGAGAATTGCTTTGCCTACCCAAATTAACTATCTTCTAACACAGAGCAACAGACATTTCTCCATTTTATTAGACAGCTGTGGCCCCCAGAAGTTGATTGAGTGTTTATGGAATCACTGAGGTCAAGAATTCCAGCCTACAAGAACAAAGGTCAGAACCAGTTCAAAGCTGAAGTGTTGAACCGAAACAGTAAGTTTCCCAAAGCGGAACGTGAGTAACACTGTGGATCAGCAAGGATCAGTGTTCCACATGCAAGCTGTGCATGCTCAGATAATTTAATTTTCCCACGACTCTCCTCAAAAACTAGCAAAATTGGGTACTGGCCAAACAGCACATGAACTGGCTGCAAGCCCAGGAAGGAGACAAGCACACTGGGTCTGCATCCTATGGGGGAAGCTGAAAACTAGAGTACAAACTCTAGTAGTCTGCAAGGGCTGCCCATCCTTATAACACCAGCAAGACAGGGGCCAGGAGCCCTGGAAGCTACTATCATGCCATGTAAGAATTCACATGTACTGAGATTCCAAAATAACCTCCTCGAATTCACAGAGGTGAGCGGAAGGAAAAGTCTTGAAAGAGAGAGAAAAGAGATTTCACTGAATGACCAAACAGAAGAATGTTCTCAACACGGAGGCTCATCTCCACTTGTGCTCTTGCAAGGCAAAGCTGCTGCCAGGGCCCTGGGAACACCAGCCTCCAGAAGCTCTGAGCCAGTAAAGTGGCATGAAACTCAAGAGCAGCTGAAAGAAGGCAAAGGGCAGTGCCATTGGAAAGCAGTGCTGCTGCAGCTCAGTCTGCTGGGATCAGGCAGGGAAAAACAAAAACAAATGGTGGGTTTTGTCCAGCCTTTCCCTCAAGCCCAACATCTTTTCAGGCTATTTCCACTCCGTTTTGGCTCCCTCCTATCTTTTGTCATCTTGTGCCAGGTAGGGGAGGGAAAAATAAAGGGTAGGAGGCCAAGCACAGCAGGTGAAGTGAGGTGTCTGCTGTGCCATGCTCCACTTTTTCCGCTTCCTGAGGCTGTGCTGACGCGTAAGTACAGTGCACTGACTGTCAGCAGTTGCCTCCTGCTTCCTGAGTGATAGAATCAGAGCAATGACAGTTCAAGGCTGTTACTGGATACAATGGGAGGAGGAAGATGTGGGACAATATTAACCAGCTGCTATTACTAAAATTTGTTGGCTCTTAGCACATAGAGGAACCAGATCCAATGAGTAAGATGTGCTTTTTCTACAGTTACTCTTCTAACTACAGTGTGAAGCAAGACTGGCCTTTTGATTTCATTAACTTTAATTAATTGTCATTACAGCTGCATTACAATCACAACTGTAACTGCAATTGCAATCCTGCATGAACATCCAGTTCAAGATAGTTATACTAGTTAGTGAGAGTTACATTTCCTATCCAGCCTGGACTCCTCAGTCAAATCAATTGCTGGAATAAGCAGTGGTAAATGCGGAGGGAAAAATAAGTAAGACTTTTCTAAAACAAAGATATATATTCCTTGCTGCATGCCAGAAAATTCAAGCATGACTGTGGCTGTAAAGTTTGCAGTTCTGTTGCAGAATATTAAGAAGTACAGTAATAACCTTGAAACAGTGAGTACCTTCAGATGAATAGATGGAATTGCTGCTCACATTAAGATATGGTCTATGATAGCAAGGCATGTAATGCAAGGAACTATTACAGTAATGAATAATGATGGTTCTGCTGTAACTGGGAAAAAAAAATCTCACAAATCCACACACTTTTCTCTCTAAAAACAAGAGACCCCAGGGATCTCGTGTTCTGTCTGGGTCTGACAGCAAGCATGTATCTTTAGTCAAATTCCAGTTAAAACCATATCAAAATTAGTTATTTTGTTCAATTTAATATAAAGATTTAAAAAAAAATACAATTGCAAATGACATGCCCAAAATAAAATCATAAGCAAAGCAGTGCTCAAAAACTAAAGGAGGGGTAGGTGGCTCAGGCAGGCAAAAAGGTGGAAAGCATTAGCAGCATGCCAACCAGGCAAACTAGAGTAGGGAGTGACAGTGGCCAATTCCACCTTGGCAATCTGTAAGATCTGAGGGAATGTGCTGAATGACAATAGACCACTGTGTTGTCAGATAGTCTTTACCAGCCAACCACTTATAGCTGCATGACACCTCCCAGCCAAACTAACAATGGCCTTGATTTTATTCCTTCTATTTCTTTTACTGAAGAAAAGAGCCCAAGGTTATGAATCTCACCTAAAAGTGATGTGAGCAGCACCAGCAACGTGTTGGTATCTTCTCCAAAGCATGAGGCTGCACTTGTGATGTTTTCACTGTAGTTCCACAGGGTTTTGCATATCAAACCAGCCAGGGGCCAGTCTGCTGGCCCAAAGTCTTGTAGACACTCAACTAACCTGTCAGTACCAAACAAAAACAGTGATTTGCTTCTGAGCCCTTCAAAATCTGGCAGTCTAGAAATGTAAGCAAACTCCATGGCAGTTTGCAGGAAAATTCTATGTTAACAAACTTAAGATGCTACCTTCTTCCTCAGTAGCTTTCCCCTTTTCATTTAGTGTAGATCCCTAAGGATGGGAACATGCATGTCTGCATTAGTCCATCCCCCCTAACTTTTTAACCCAACTGACCAATTTCACTCACATACATCACAAATGTAACCATCTCAAAGACACTAAAACTACATCAAATTTCATTACAACCTGTGACCATCCCAAATCTGTGGCTACCACTAAAGCAGAGACTGCAATGCAAGGCAAATGTTATCAGACATCAAGAATTCATCTAGAAAAAGTGGTGTGAAGGCAGAAATACCTTCGGTCAGAATATCCATTTTATTACACATCACAGAACACAGAATCATAGAATTTTAGGGGATGGAATGGACCTTATAGATCATCTAGTCCCAACCCCCTGCCATGGGCAGGGACACCCCCCCACTAGACCAGGTTGCTCAAGATCTCACCAAAAAACAAATTCAAAGGAATTTACTACTTTCATGACTCACAGAATTACCTTATACATTCAGTGAAGTCTGACTATTTTGCAGATCTTGCCCTTTCTTTACTTTCCTCAGCCTGCACTGCCAAGAAATGCCTCTCAGAAATGCCAGTTTTACTAAGCACCATTAGGGTCTAGACCTTTCTCCCAATCTCACTTCCTTGCAGATACCAAATGCAGGCTGGATCATAAGCAGGACTCTGAAACTGAGCTGTAACTTTTCTGCCTACACCAGCTTAGGTACTGTAGCTATCCAGAGCTCCCATTTCCAAACTGCAGTGTTCACAAGTCCTGGGGCAGCAGAAGAAAATGTTGTTTTTCACCTGCTGTCCCCAGTGACCTCTCCAACAGCAGTAATCCTTCACTGCTGTTCTCTTCTCCAACCTTACAACCCCCTCTTTCCTTCACTTCTCTACTTCACCTAGAGATTTAGAATCTGGTGATTAGTAAAGGGAACATGGAATAATTATTACATTCAGGTATGGCTGAAAATAGAAGTAACTGAAGAGCAACCAAAAAGGTTTGCTTTTTCTCCCCTCTCTGCAGACAGTCATTGTGGAACAACAGGAGGCATCAAATCAAAATACGAAAGAACTTGCCCTAATTTGTTTAACTTTAACTCTCTGATGAGACTAATTCCATATTTTCTTAGGGACACTACATATTGGTACAGTAACCTCATTTCCAAAAATCCACAGAGCTGGTTTGGCACAGTCAGGATGATCTCCTTAACAATCACTTCTAAATTCTCCAGATTTATTCCAGCTGTTACTGGTTTTCCTTCCTTCATATACTTTCAGCCACAGTATAGAAAATTCCAAATTTATATGATTCTATATGCTACAGAATATTCTCTATAATATAAATTTCTCACATTTATTATTCAATTTGCCTATAACTAATTTTTATTCTCCTTTTTCAGCTTTATATTGTAAGCTAACTAAAACATGGGAAGGAAGGACAAGAAGACTATGAATTGTTTACACTGTCTAAAAAACCATACATTATATATGAACAGGAAAGCATTTCAAAGGTAGGCATATTGTTCCATAAATGCGGGTTGTATCAACTGCTTTATGAGCACAGGAACATGATCTTTCATGTCCCTCCAATTAAGCTGGATCAGCTATTATCTGAACATCAAAGCCACAAGGTCTTGCGTCCACAGTGGATTTTTCAAGACCTAATATCACTTACAATAGAAGTGCCTTAAACTTGAACTCCCAGAGAGAGAAGACTCAGGAGCTGTTCTCTGCCAAGCATGGCTACATTAGACACTTTTTCCTACAGTACAAAGTAGTTACAAAAATTGCAAGAGACCTTGTGAGATATCACAGTTCCCAAAGTGACCTTCATAGTCATACCAGATACACATTAAAGGTGGGCTAAACCACTCTAATGCTTCTGAAAAAAACCCAAACCCAACCCACATGAAAGGCTCTTTACAGAAGAACATTAGATGCCAAATATCTACTATGTTGGCATCTTTATTAAAAGTTACTGGCCCCAGTAAAAAAGAATCTAGTTGAAACCTCTTTGGCCAAACTCCTCAAAACTGCCTTTTTCCTAAGTGTAATCAGGGACTTACTTTCCAATTCCTCCTCCTTCCATCAGAAAACCTCTCTTGTTCTTATCTACCGTGAGATTGAGCAGAACTCCACAGGCAGCAAAACAGACATCTTGGTTCTTGGAATCAAGCAAAACAATCATGAACCTGTATACTGGACGGTAAAGAACGAAACAATATTACTGGGAAGAAGGACATATCACACAAGTGGCATTACAACAGACTTATTAAGAATGTATACTTAGAAAGCAGCTGAACACAAGATACCCTACCCAAAACTGTAACCTTGTAGCCTATCACTGTGACGCTTGGAGAGCTGGCACATGGCTGAGAGTAATATCATACAGAATACCATTTGTCTTCAAAACAACACATAACAAAATTCCAGTTAGAAAAATACATCAAAGTAAAGTGAAAATCCAATCAGAAGAGGTTAAGTTAGCCAAACTGAATTGCAGCTTATTGCTTGAGAAGAACACCCTCCTTTCAATTGCACAGTCAGCAGAAACTGCTGGGATTTGGCATCTGGCACTCAGTGAGGGAAGTTTTCCCTCTGTGAGTGGCAGGGTTGCCCTAGACTGCACCAAGTCCAGCTGGAGCTGCTGCAGCCTGGGGCTCCTGCAGGAGCTGGACATGCAGCGTCTCGCAGCACTTGCTGACACTGACAAGGCAACCCCAGCGAAGGAGTCAGTCTTGCCCAATGGAAAGGCAGCCTCAGCTCTTCTGAGCTTGGCACACCAACACTACAGTCTTTCCCAGCTGGAAACTCAGTCCTTTGACTGAGACAGCTCATCAACAAACAGCTACTGTCAGTTCTCCCTTTTCCTCCAAAAACGGTGATACGTCCACCCTGGAAGTAAAAGGCTGCACATCACCTCACTTTCAGCACTGGCAGGCAGATACAACAAACATGTACAGTGAATTGGTGTCTAATTAAACTCATGACACACCTTTTGTGGAGAGCAAGGAGTTGCCATTTTTCCCAAAGCTCTTTAGATACCCAAAGCAAAAGGACTTGAGAAGACTTGTATCCTACTTCACCCAGAGGCAAAGAGGAGGTCTCTTTGTTGAGGCAGTTGAACATCTTAAATGCATGTTACAAAGTGCTAACAAGGGAGTCAAAAATCTGTGATTATGGACCTAAGTGAGAATTCAATTGGATTTTCATTTTACATAATATGGCTACTAATCTGTAGGATTTGGAAAGCTGTATGGGTGAAGGGAAATGTCAAAATGTGAGCAGTGGGTTTGTAGTATTTACCTTTGTGAAAGCATCACGACATATTTTTCCTACTCCAACATTTCCATTTTAATGAAACTGAAATAGAATGGTGTTTATAATGACTACTATTGGATACTAATGTTTGACTAATTTGCAAAACATCAGAGAAGGTTGCTTATACCTTTTAACTGAGACAGCTTACTAACAATCTTTTCTTCTTAGAACCATAGACATTTTAAAACAGGACTCCTACAAATGCAAAAGTAACTCACTCTTTTTCTGTATGATGAAGTCACAGACCTCATGGTACTTGGAAAGATTGCCAAAGACTCTGACAGCCTCCACAACTCCATCCATATTGTCGCTCATTAACAGCTTTAAAAGCACTATTGGTTTGCAGAGAAATTAAACACAAACAATTACTTGTATATCACAAATATGTGCTTGGCTTTTTATCAATAAATATCAGAATGCAACAAACAGCAATGAACAGAACAGTTGTCTATCTGTCTGGTGGCAGTGAAGGGAGCTGATGGCAGAACAAGAACTAAATTGTGTAGGGCTTTGAAGATGAGACAAAGAGCCCCAATATGGGGCTAAATGTAAAGGAACAAATGAGGAGTTATGGAGACAGTTTAAGCACAGCTGTAATAATAGGACCCAGTTTTGCTATACAGTTTGGAGTGGGCTCATGTGAAAATCCAGGAAGACATAGACAAAAAAAGAATTGTAATATATAAGAGACTTGATTTATATCCTGAACAGATGGTCTTATGGTGGGATGTCTCCTAAAACTCAAATTATTTTCTGACATTAGCTCTATTTTCTCTCAGTGCTGCTATAACAAGCAAAGACATTTTCTCTGAACAGCTAGTTAATATTGCCCCACTCTGAAGCATTCACTTCCTTGCTGCTTTCCTGCTTAGCAGCTTCACATGTGATTAGCATGTAACTTCAGCAGACAGAACGAGACCTTCACCATTTCCTAGGCAGATCTACTGTCACAGAGGATTTTGCTGCATGGCAAAGGAGTAATGTTAGAGAAGTTACATTTATCAGCCTTCTGTGAGTATGAAGCAAACCACTGAAATCAGTCCATCATATAAAGGACTCACATAAGTCAACCCTTAACCCTTCTACCACAGAAAAGTGAGAGACAAAAATACAGATAAGAAGTTGGCTTTGTTCCCTTTACTTCCATCTCTGAATGTTGCAGTACTTCATATGCCTTGAACTTGTCTTAAAGAGACACATGAAATGATTATTTTTTGCCTTTGGGATCCACCACTTGTATCCCAGAGCAAGTATTCTCAAAATGCCTCCTGAAGGAGGAAGCCTGTTGGTCTTACATCAAAAGGTTTCTATCTCCTCAGTTCAGGCAGAGGAAAGGTGATGGGACTAGTTCCACATGCAAACAATAAAAACAGAAGAGGGAGAGCAAATGGGACAGGCAGTGAAGTAATTTTGTTTCCATATTTTCTGACCTGCAATAAGAGGCAGCTGGCTTATAGGTGATAAAGTGAGTGGTGACAGAAGAGCAGAACTGTTCCCTAGAGAGAATGTGATGTCAGAGCACTAGATTGACAGTCAGAGTATTTTTTCCTACTCCTCATTCTACCTGATGTACAAACTTCAGGTCCTGTCTCTCCCCTCTATTTAGACAGAAAGATTTGCAAGACAGACTCTCTCTGCCTTTTGTATAATACTAACACAATGAGCCCCAGAACTCAGCTGCAGTTCCTACACATCATTATATGATTATTGCCCACACTGTCACAGAGGGGAGAGAATCACACAAGACAATACTGCCAATGGATATGTAAGCCAGAAATAGACAGAAACCAGAATTTCCAGGTACAGAAGGTACAAAGAAGAAAAAAAAAAACCCTCTCACCATACTCTGATTAGAAGCAACATGATTATTTTGGCTCAGGTATATGGATTTTGAACAAATCTAGCAAAAACTGCTAAACAGAAAACAATATGGCAAATTCCTTTGTGGAAGAAAAGAAGGGGCTTTGTCAACAACCCAACTGTTATCATGTAAGTCATACACTTAATTTTCCAAAAGAATGAGAAATCATTATGGGAAGAATTTAGCCCTATGAATACAACACACAAAACACTATCTTTGCTCTGTTATGCCAAAATAGTTCCACTTTCTAAAAGCTATACAAAAAGTACTAGTTCAAAGTCCTTACTTTCAGCAATGTGTAGCTTCCTGTCTTGAACTGCAGAACCCTCCACTTGGTAATAGGACAAATTGTTGATTGTTGTCACAGTATTGATGACCAACTCTTCACAGTCACTGACTGACTTGTATTCTGAGAGGAAGAAAAACCCCAAAACATAAGCATATATAGATACACACATGAGTTTAACTTAGCAGTGCATTAGATCTCTGAAGCAAACTGAGTAGTAGTTTACATGGCCACAATTATAGTCAACTATTCTGTTTTTCAGGAACATGGCAGAAGCTAACAGGAATACCTGATCCAAAAATGGCAGTTCAAAGTCACTACCTCCAAACAGTAATTTGGAGAAATCATTGTGACTAAGGCAACATGGTTTAAAAATCTATTTACTTAAGCCATTTTTCAGATCCTGTTTGCTGCTTTAAGATGGCACTGAGGAGAATCTGCATGCAGAAATAGGACTGTGTGATAGGCAGAGAAATACCAAGACTATTACAGTGATAAGTCAAGTAAACGGAAAAAAAAATGGAAAAAAAATCTTTAACAGTATTTGAAATATTCTCTCTCTTAGAGTACCTGACAGAACACAAACCAGTGTAAAAATCCCACCAGCAAGTCTGAAGGTTGTGTATACTGATTTGTCTGAGGTTTCTGGCCTCAGAAACCAAGAGTAAAGGAAATAAAAGAGGGGTAAGTTCATAGGGAGAGAGCATTTTGTAGTAAACTGACTGGTACAGTGCTCAAAAAGGGGAGGGTGGCAGACAGAAGCTCTGAAGCTCAAAAACACTTACACAACAATAAAGACATTAAGATAATTTCAATCCATGGGACAGAAGGAAGTTGTGAGTCTGCCTTCTCTAATCCCCCACGACTGATAAGGTAGTGTATAATCAGGTTGATTGTCTTTACATAATATTTAATGCTCTCATCACACAGTAAAATATACTGAGCTGTCTGAGATGTGTCTTGTCACTGCTAAACTCTGTTAATGGGGAGAACAGACTGCCCAGTCCTAGTCTGTAATTAGATTTACAAAGGGATCAGTAAGTGGTAAAGGAGCTGCAGTCCTAGGCCTCCATTTGGAGGAAGAGGGACATTCTCCTCCATCTGAAAGAGATGGGAGTTGGAAAACTGGAAAACAAGAAAAAACTTTGAGGTGGCTGAAAGTTATGAGTGCAGAGAATGAAAAGAATACTTAATCCAGAACAGCCACAAAACATGCAAACCTGAAAAACAGCAAACACATCTATGTAGCACCTGATAAGAACAAACTTCCCCTATATATATGAGCTCTCAGTGATAAGTGTTTAAAACAAAATGCAAATGTCATCACTGAATTAAACACTTCTACAACATCTTTCTACACATTCTGAAAAGTCAGTACCAACGCAGCAATGCTTCCACTGTCTCAGACAGTCCTTCTACATAAACCAGCTTATGAATATCAGCAAATTGACTTTGGATCATTGACTTCATTTTGCAATGAAACTGATTTAGTTATGGTTTAACCTAGACAAGGCTGAGTTGAAAAATCCTAAACTCTCCTTACAGACTAGACAAAGATAACAAACACAACATAGATTTGATTACCTAGTACTGTAACAAGTAATTCTACAACAGGATGGGCAGCTGCCAGAGCTGCTCCTATGCTGGGATGAATGGAGAGATTGGCCAGCACTCTTATCAGTTTTATCAGAACATCTTCTGCTTCTGAAGGATGCTTTGGGTGGTTTTTTCCTTTTCCTTCTCTATCATGGTCCCGTGTCTGTGCATTCAAATCGAGTTCACAGTAGGTTTGGAATAATGATATCAAAGTGTTAATACTTTCTTTTTCTTTAAACAATTGCTCCTGGGCCTGGTTATTATTTGCTGTTAAATTACCCAGAATGAAAATGATGCGGATAACCAAATCCTGCAATAAAATAAACAAAAAACCACTATTACATGAAAAACACCAGAAGGTATCAGCTGGTTAAAAAGAAGAGAATACTTCACTTGCTTCACAATTCAGATAACAGCAGGTCCAGAACAGCTGAAGGAATGCCAAATACAGCAACTAGAAATAATTTAATGCTATTTTTCATAGCCCTATTTACAGAAGAAATCAAAAACATCTGAGACAACTAGCATAGCATTGGGGTAATTACTAATGGGATATACTTAGTATAGGTCATCTATTTTTACCAAGCCCACAGTAATCTTAAAACGTCTTAAAACAGCACTTTATATAACTAGAATAATCATATGGGCCAGAGCTTACTAATCTTTCAAGTAAGCAAGTGTCAGCTGGGATAGCCAAAGACCACAACCTTTCCTTCTCTAGGCCAGTTAACTATTGTAGAGGTTAAACTCCTTGGTAAGAGTTTGATAGGAATTTAATCCTTCCCCTTGACTGGTTATTCTTAAATCCATATCAGCCCTTACTCATTTCCTTGTTCATTTCAATTGCTTACAGAGAGCTGAATTATTTGTTCCAGATTTTTACCAGAATTGTAATCTAATGACTGGTCTGTTATTCTCCAGTTCCCAACCCTGGCAGTGTTCAAGACCAGGCTAGATGAAGCCTTGTGTAACCTGATCTAGTGAGGAAGTGTCCCTGCCCATGGCAGGGGTTGGCACTAGATGATCTGTAAGGTCCTTTCCAACCCTTAAGTTCTATGATTCTATGACTTTAAAAACAGGCACCAACAACCTTGCAATTCTGCATAGCTTTTTGGCAATCTCAGCCCAAGATGCTCTTTCTATCCTTTTGGAAACACCAAAGGGTAAATTTCATCAGACCTAGTTGGCTAGAAGACATAGCTCATTTTTAGCGATAAAAGAACTTGGGCTGAAGTAGAGATTATTCATTGGTTATACTTAACCCTTTCAGGAAAAGAAGCAAAAAAACCAGCATTCCACACTTCACTATTCGCAGTGGCATCTGTCAATGAGAGAGAAAGAAAGAAAGAAAGAAAGACAGAAAGACAAAGACAAAGACAGAAAGACAAAGAAAGACAGAAAGACAAAGACAGACAGAAAGACAAAGACAGACAGAAAGACAAAGACAGACAGACAGACAGACAGACAGACAGACAGACAGACAGACAGACAGACAGACAGACAGACAGACAGACAGACAGACAGACAGACAGACAGACAGACAGACAGACAGACAGACAGACAGACAGACAGACAGACAGACAGACAGACAGACAGACAGACAGACAGACAGACAGACAGACAGACAGACAGACAGACAGACAGACAGACAGACAGACAGACAGACAGACAGACAGACAGACAGACAGACAGACAGACAGACAGACAGACAGACAGACAGACAGACAGACAGACAGACAGACAGACAGACAGACAGACAGACAGACAGACAGACAGACAGACAGACAGACAGACAGACAGACAGACAGACAGACAGACAGACAGACAGACAGACAGACAGACAGACAGACAGACAGACAGACAGACAGACAGACAGACAGACAGACAGACAGACAGACAGACAGACAGACAGACAGACAGACAGACAGACAGACAGACAGACAGAAAGACAGACAGAAAGACAGAAAGACAAAGAAAGACAGACAGAAAGACAAAGAAAGACAGAAAGAAAGACAGAAAGACAGAAAGACAGAAAAGTTCTTTCCTGATTCCTGTATTATAAAAACCTCTTCTTGTTTCTCTTGTTTCCCTTTATAGTTGCACCTCAATTTGTGCTTTGGTTTTTCTGATTTTTATTTTGTGGGCTCTTGCTACCATTTTATTCTTATCATTGCTAAATGATATCATTCCCTCTAGTCCTCTCCCTGCAGCCATGGCAGGAGAGACATCCCACACCTCTCTACAATCCCCGTCAGGTAGTTTTAGAGGGCCATGAGGTCACCCCTGAGCTGCCTCTTCTCAAGGCTAAACAAACCCCACTCCATCAGCCCTTCCTCACAGGACATGTGTTCTAGACCTTTTCTGAGCCTCGTTGCCCTTGGCTGGACTCACTCCAGTGCCTCAATGTCCTTTTTAAAGTGAGGGACCCAAAACTGAACACAGCACTGAGATGTGACCTCACCAGTGCTGAGTACAGGGGTATGATACTTCCCTAGTCCTGCTGGCCACACTATTCTTGATAGAACTTGTTAAGGTATACACGCTAATACTGAAGGAAAAAAGATGTGTAAGCAGCAAGTCCTTCTTTCACACATGCCTTCATCAATAAGTTTCAGGCCTTAAGTCTCTGCCACAAGACACTGGCAATAATACCATCCCAGGAAGATGAGTGCTACCCCTGAACGTGAGAAGCAGAAGTCTCCTACGTGAGGAAAAGGTTCTGGCATCTATGTATTTAATACCACTCTGCAGGACCTGCTTCCACTGTTTTTATCTAGGCATCATATTTTAGCTAGAATCTAAATGTCATCAAGACAAATTTTATGAACATTCTTACTGACTAACCACTAAGAGCTTTCACCTTTGCTGGCACAACACCCAATTCACAAAGGCTGTAAGAATCTGAAACAAACAACTGATGAATCAGAAAAGAGAACCGAAAAAAGCAGGCAGTCTAGTTTGACTCGTTTATATTGACTTTCTAATTTTGGTCAAAATGGTATCAGCCCAGCAACAGCTCTACCCAATCAGGAAACAGACAAACAGGTACTGTACAGCAATCAACTGATATTTTGAGAAGTGTGATCTCAACTGTGCTTTCCACCTACAGCCTAGCAAAACAAACTTATAAAAGACTTCTTTTGAGCTAAGCACATCCGGTTTTAATAGAACATTACCGAAGTTTCATTATCTTCCAGTGAAAATTTAACCAGCAGAGTCAAAAAGAAAAGCCAGTATGACTTCTCCTGAGCAGAACAATGCTCAAGGGTTTGCATTATTTTGGGCTATGTTTTTTTTTAATGCCCGGGGTAAGCACTGCAAGAATAAGAAACACCATCTTAGGACTGCTGTGTAAAGAAATACATGTAAAGTTGAACAGCATTTTGAAACAGCTTGCAGGACTAAACCTGTGCGAGGCCCGTGGGCCTTGCTGTACATAAAGAAAAAATCAGTATCATAAATGAGATTACTATGCATCTCCAAATGTTTGGAGTATTAACTGCATATGGAATTTCAGACATGCTTTCATACTTACAGAAAAATTACATTTATCAGATCAGTTTATGGAGGTTTTACATGTATCACACGAAAGACAAATTAGATTGAAGATAAGAATTACACTGTTATTTCATCTTTCATAGTGAGGCATTCATGTGAGATTTGCTGTCCACAGAGTGTGCCCAAACCTGACTGGAAGGCTACACATGAGACGACACAGCTTCACTTATACAAACAGATTTGAAGAAACCAATCGAGAAAAGCTTGAATAAGATCATTTTCTTTCTTTCCTATCTGTGAAGAACCTGTGACATTTTTGTATTTCAGGTGGTGATGGCATCACATACTCCGCCACCATTTAACCCTTATTCTTTTGGCATATGGAACATGCATGTTTGATCATGAATATGAAAGATTTCTTCGCTTATCTACTTTTAAAAATCTATTCCTTGCACTGGCCTAGTAGCAAAGGTACCCAATGTACTTGCTGAGTCACTGAACTTGACAACAGTTTATCTTGGCAACGAAAATATACCTGCCTTTCAGTGTAAAGCAAGATGAACAGAGGTACAAATAGTACCAGCTTACTTATCAGTAGGAAAGGAAAGCCAACTAGGTCAGTAGCTTCTAACTAAAATGAGGTAAATAAGGAAGAGGAGTCCATTCCAGAGGTTGTGCATGCTGGCCAAGCACCTGTTGTTCATTTACTTGGTGTCTGGGTGCTCAGGAGGGGAGGGACAGTATGAAACAAAAGGTCAGATGCCAGCAGCTGAGTTCCTATTGAATCATCAGCTGTAAATGAAATGTGCTTTCCATGTTACACAAACTTCAGTGGAGCTAGTCAAAATTCTACCACCTGCCCTGCTTCTCATTCAAATCTAATTTACACTTCACTTCCAAATTTGTATTCTGCCTTATTATGCACCTTGGAAAGAAAATTTGGGAGTTTTCTTTGCAGGATCTGATAGTCTACTTATAGACAAAGTGACAGTGGAACTGCAATGACAGGACAAGGGGTAACAGGTTCAAACTGAAGGAAGAGAAGTTTAGGTTAGCTATTAGGAAAATGTTTTTTCCTGTGAGGGTGGTGAGACACTGGCACAGGTTGCCCAGGGAGGCAGTGGATACCCCAACCCTGGCAGTGTTCACAGCCAGGTTGGATGAAGCCTTGAGCAACCTGATCTGGTGGGAGGTGTCCCTGCTCATTGCAGGGGGTTGGGACTAGATGATCTATAAGGTCCATTCCAACCCCAAAAATTCTATAATTCTATGGCAGTACTTTTACCATCCTGGCACTAATCTCTTGCAAACACACCAAGGATTAATCTTGAAGTGACATTCTAGCTGTGAAAATTCCTGTTCAAATCCAGAAAGAGCAACTGACACAAAATGAAACCCCATTTAAAGAATTTGGACAAAAATAAAAATAAAACCCCACAAAATTCCAACCCCAAAAATTCTATAATTCTATGGCAGTACTTTTACCATCCTGGCACTAATCTCTTGCAAACACACCAAGGATTAATCTTGAAGTGACATTCTAGCTGTGAAAATTCCTGTTCAAATCCAGAAAGAGCAACTGACACAAAATGAAACCCCATTTAAAGAATTTGGACAAAAATAAAAATAAAACCCCACAAAATTAATCACAAC